TTCTTCTTCTTCTTCTTCTTCTTCTTCTTCTTCTTCTTCTTCTTCTTTCCTCTAATTCTTCTCCTCTTCCTCTTCTCCTTCCTCTCCTCCTCCTCCTTCTTTTCTCCTCTTCTTCCTCTTCTTCTTCTTTTCTCCATCTTCTGTTCTCCTTCTCCTCCTCCTCCTTCACCTCCACATCCTTCTGCTCTTGAATGAGAAGAGAAACACTTTCAAGGGGGAAAAAAACCCAAGAAACTCCAGTTGCCATTTGGAAAAGCATCTTTTGAGACAGCCATGACTTGACTGGTTGAGAATGGCCATCAAGAGAATGGCTTGGAGAAGATGGCTAGGGAACCGAAGAACCAATCCCCCGATACAACTTCAAGGTTCTTCAAAGCTGCCCTCAGAAGGCCGATTCTCCAATGATTATTGCTGAAATGACACCATGTGCTTTTTGGGGTGATCATGTACACAGCCTATGTAGAAAGCTAAGGAGGATGACTGCATAAGAGAACGATTATTGTTGTTATTATTATTAAATAATTCTGCCTGAAGGCACGAGATCCAATCAGAATATGCAACACAGCTGCAACGTAACACTGACTTCATCTAAGGAAGTGTGGATAAACAGTTTATTCGGACTTTGCATTGAGCTAATAATAGTGGGGGAAGTGAGTCATTTGGTACCCAAGCGGAGGGTTTTAGAGCTGGACAGGCATGTTGGATGCCCACCTCTGACATTAAGTGAAGAAGCGTGTGCAATTCTTGATAGTTTTTCAACTTATGGTCACAATTGAGCTCAAGGGTGGGATTCAAACTTCTTAACAACCAGTTCTGTGGGTGTGGCCTAATTTGTGGGTATGGCTTGGTCATGTGACTGGCTGGGCATGGCTGGTTGTGGCTTGCATGTAAATATTGTAAATATTTATGTAAATATTGATTTTTTTTTTATTAAAAAAGAGCAACTTTTACCCAAAATCAGGCAAAGCAATCAGGCAGATTGAGTTGCTCACAGAATCACAGATTCATTGAGAGATCTATCCTTCTGCAATCGGCTACCTGAGTCTGTCACATAAAATTTGCTAGCAAGCAAACTCACAAAAGTAACTCACAACACCCTATGTATGTAAATATTGAATTTTTTATTTAAAAAAGAGCAACTTTTACCCAAAATCAGGCAAAGCAGGCAGGCAGATTGAGTTGCTCCCAGAATCGCAGATCTCTGTTTTTCTGCCATCTGCTGCCTGAGTCTGCACTGAAAAATAGAAGTCCTAAGGAAGGTTCGGCTCTGCTTTTAGATTAGCTAGCAAGCAAGAAATCCAAGTTTCCCTGCTTTCTAGCTAATCTAAATCTCCCAGCACAGCTGGTAGTTGGAACAGCTGATGGTTGGGGCGGGAAAAAGGAAAAATAGCAACTTACCAAAAATTAGGCAAAGGCACAACGCAGGCAAGTTGGATGCCGCGCATGCCAGGGAAGGAGTGAGTGGGCGGGGCAGGGTGAGGCCAGCC